GTGGCACTCGCTATTAAAAGCTTGCTTTTGCTTGATAGCAAGGTTGATATTCTTATCTACACACACCTGTTACATACACTGCTAACCCTGTAATTTTTTTTATTGCTGGGGACAGGGATGTTCTTTATCAATTAACTCACTATCCCCATTGTTTTGTTTAAATATTCCTCCAGAAAATCTGTGAATTTATTGCCAAGTAACTCAGTCCCTTTCTTTGATGGATGCAAACTGTCTCTTTTGTACATTGTTTCATTGGACCAGCTACAGACATTGTGACAATTAAACATGAATCCCCAGCTAGCTAGACAGGATGGTCCTCAAACATGAGTTCTTATACCCTTTCATGGTTTCCAAAATTGTCATTTCTGATTGGTGAGTTTATTTATTTATTATTTATTTATTTTTAAAATTTATAAGCCGCCCCACTCCCGAAGGACTCTGGGTGGCTAACAATAAAAAACACATAAAACATAACAAACAACAATAAAAAAACAATCATCCAGGGATAAGGTTTTATAAACCCCAGGCCTGCCGAAAAAGCCTGGTCTTAAGTAGCTTACGGAAGACCAACAGGGTGGGAGCGGTCCTAATCTCCGGGGGGAGCTGATTCCAAAGCGTGGGCACCATCACAGAGAAGGCCCTCCTCCGCGGCCCCGCCAAATGGCACTGCTTGGTCGACGGGGCCCGAAGGAGGCCCAGCCTGTGGGATATAACCGGACGTAGGGAACTATGAGGTAGTAGGCGGTCTCGCAAATAGCCTGGCCCTGAGCCATATAGGGCCAGTTTAAATTTGTCTTTTCTGATTTGTTGGTCAGTGTCTGTTGTTGGGTTAATTTCCTTCCCAATTCTGTCTAAAAGGTGTTAATTTTTGTTCCAGGAGAGATCCGGTGTTAATTATGTTGTTGTTGTGTACCTTTTGGTGTTTCTATTCTAATTCTGTCAATTCTAATTGCTGTTAGCCATTCTGCATTCTTTATAGCCAGTGTGTTTATTTAGCCTCAGGCTGCCGCTGAGTCAGACTAGTTTGTATTGAATTCTTCCTGTATTTCCCAAGGTATTTTCTCTTTGGGGTGAGGAGGGGGTGTCCTGCCTGCTGGGTTCCTGCCCCAAGCTCTGGAAATCATTCTGCAATGTGTTGTAAAAGGTTATGGGTTCTAAATGGGTTTTATCTGTCTATGGGTTTTATCTGTCTATCCTTTTCCTGAAACATGACCAGCATTTTTTAAGTTGCAAGTCCTTGTCTTTAACATGTTTCAAATGTTCAGCTCAGAAGTGAAACTTTTCATGTATGTTCTCTTACCAGAATCCAGCCTTTCTTGTCCTCATCTGTGAGTTCATTTTGTTTGCCTGTTTCTTTAACTACAGTATTAATGCCTTTTCAAACTCTGTCTACAAGCTACCCCCCCCCATTCTACTTCTCCTTTGTCTGCCTCTCCTGGGAGAGTCCACCCAGAAAGGGGGGAGGAGTTCTTACTCTCATGTCTTTCAGCCCTGCATAGATGACCCCTCCTAACCTTTGGAAGCAGAGCACACTGACCCAGATGCTGCCTCCATCCCTTTGAGCCATGGAATTGAGTTTTGAATCTAGCCATCCACTAAAAAGTCACCATGCAACCTGAGTGGAACAGATCTTCCCAAGTCCTACCATTCCCCCAGATGCCTGTGAAAAACTACAAAGGAAGGAAGAAGTCCTGGAGCCATTGGTCCCCATGTGAAGGCTCAGAAGAAAATTAGTAAAACTATGGGGAGAGGGTGGAAACTCATTGTAAAGTTTTCTTTCTTTCCCCATTTATATTGTAATAAGCCAGTTGAATGTATTCATGGAGTGATGGCATTTGGGAATAGTTGGCATGGCAACTATTGGACATCTGTCTGGTAGGAGGGAAAATTTATCCAGAATGTTTGTATTGCCTGTGTTGTATTAGTAGCTGCACACACACACACACACACACACACACACACCATTCATAATCACACTGAGTCTATCTTTTTCACTTACCTTCAGTACAGCTCCAGCCTGATTCTTGCCTTGTGTCATTAAAACTTTGTAGGAACAACCTCCAGCAAAATTCCAAGGGGGAGGGAATCAGGCCCCTCAGGCAATTTGCAATTCATATGCCCTGACTGATGAAGTAGCAGGAAACAGATCTCCAAACCTAAGCCCTGAATATCTTCCACTGGTGGACTCAGATTGGGAGCCCTAGGGCTATGTGCATTTTAAGAAAAAAATTTAATAGCCTGGCTTGCATACTGGCTAACCTCAATTGGACATTACAAACCTGGATGCACTGAACTAAGAGCTAAGGCAGGAAACAACCCTTGAAAATGGGCAGCCAGTGGTTATGTATTGAGGCAAACCATGGCTGTGAAGAATTTTGGGAGGGATGTGCAAACCTGACTGGAACTCAGTGACATCCAACATTTGAAAATGATTGGCACAGAATATTGGACGCTATAAATTTCTTTTCCACCTAACAAAATTTTTGCCCTGACTTTTAGAACTTTATGGGTTGGAAGCTCCCCTTTTGGAAGCAGAGATCTTTTTCTGCTTGCCTCCATTAGTCTTCTTTTTTTGGCTTAACAGTTTTAAAACTTGTTTACCAAGTCTCCCTGACCAGATCAATTTTAATCTTGTGCCAATAGGTATGTCATTCACATACTTATGGCACAAAGGGGAGGATTGTGGGAAGTCAGCCCCCCCCAGAGAAGGAAATATTAAAAAGGCAGAAAAATATATTTCCTGAAAAGGATTTTAAAAACAGAAACCAACCCTGCCCCCAAGTCTCTCTGTCCCAAGCAGAAGCCAGCTCTGTACAAATGCAGATGTAAACCATCAAAAAGGCCCCAGCTAGGAGACAAAGACACCTAAAATCTGCATACCCCACCCAAACTCTAGGAGTCATTAGCCCCAACACCAGGGAAGCAGGATATAACCCTTGGGACATAATAGGATTAACCCACCACCAAGAATACCAGAAAGCCACACCCAGGCTCAGATCAGAATACGTGACACAGGAAATACAAAGCCTGAAACAGGAACAGGAAACTACTTCAAATAAAAGGCTAGAGAGGTTATAAAAACCTACTACCCATATGTGCTCAGTCCTTTTTTCTCTCCTCTTTCCTGCCAGAACCATCTTTGTCTGGCTCTTCAATAAACTGCAACCTTCTTTCTAAAGCAGTCGCCATATTGTTTATCCCTGGCTTGGATGAATCATGATGAAGACTTTTCTTTCAACACATCTCAGCCTATGGCTATCTGTAGGGCCTAACAAGCCCTATAGTTGTGCCTAGCAAGCTAATGATCCTGTACTGGAATAAGTAACAATTATTCTGGTATTTAATATAGAATTCCTTTAAACTGATTGTTCAATTAAAATTTCCATATGCAACAAATTATTTTTAAAATAAAAGCACTTTTTGCTTTAAACAATATCTCAGTATATGATGTAGTTCTTTAATGGGATGAATTTTAATTGGTAGACCTGTCTTGCTTCATCCACTTCTGAGTATAATTCTAAAAAAAATAATTTTTAAAATCCAAGTTGGATAAAATAAGCCTTGTCATAGAAAGGTATGGATTATGTTTAAATAGTCAAATTGAAAACTAGGGTCAGATTACAGATAAAGAGCTAGAAACAGGGTCCCCCCCCCCCAACGCATACTTTGTCTTATCTTACTTTCAACTGTCCAATATAAAGGCCAGGTCAGTCCCTTCACAGATAGTGCAGATAAGAAACAAACCATTTTCAACTCTGTAAGAGAAATAACCCTCATCACCAATCAGCATTGAATTATTCTGCATTTGATTTTAGGCTTTTTCAAGCTGCAGCTGTCCAGGTGTGTTGCATTTCTCAGGCAGCATCATCAAAATGTTTGTTGGGTGGTTAATTGGAAACTTATATGTATTAGGGAGATTCTGTTTCAACTCTTATTCAGCCATGAAGCCCATTAATGCCAGGCACATATGAACCTATCTTCACAGAGTTATTGTAAAACTGGTTGAGCAAGTCATCACAGCACCTTGGAAAAACGGATTATACATGATATATATCTATATATAATGCTTAAATGCCATAAAACATCAATTTCGATCGTCAATCTTGGAAACAATTTAGAAAAACAAAAAAATCTCAAAGTTTTCTATCATTGCTCACAACTTAACAATAGCAGCATAATTTTCTGTCATACAGTCTTGCAAGTACCAGTGTACTATTTGTATTTCGCAAGCCGAGGGCCAATCTTCGTAGCGTTGTTATTCCTTTGCCTTCGGATCTGAACCATGCACGCGTGTCTTCCACAAAAATGGGTGTGGTTACTTCTTATATTTCCAGGCGCATTCGTGAAAGATACATAGATGCCTGTGCACATCTATACATTCTTTCCCGATGTATGATCATCATAATATTCTATATTTTCCCCTCTATTTAGTAGGACTCTTAATAGGGATATGGGATAGCGGAGGCACTTAGATTTACTTGGTTTTCAAGCGAACAGAAGGAAACAATGCCCTGGCGATCTTGCGACAAGGTTGCAGACGTGATTTCCAAACTAAGCAACCGCCCTTCTCTTTCCTCCTCCCACCTCAGTCTTCCAGCTTTATGTCTTCCAGACAGAGACGCATTTAACTTTCCAAAACAGGATCAAGCGTTTTGCCATACCTTATCTTTTCCCGAGCACAAGCCGCTCACCAGATGCTCCCCATGAGAGGGAAGACAGGCACCGCGCAGCTCAACTGCCGTCCCTCCCCCTTTGCAGCTGCTTTGAGTCCAGCTCAGCAGCAGCGCGCTTAGCAAAGCCGGCGCTTAAGTAAAGCCTCCAGCGACAGCCTCTGGACGCAGGCCGCTCGCTTTTTCACCCCTGGAGGCACTCGGCAACCTCGCTCGCTACGTCCCACCTTCTGCTCTCTGCCATTGGGCGGCAGAGGAACTTGCTTGGTTGCCGTTGGCTACTAGAGACGTCGCTCCGCGCAGGGAGGGGAAAGAACCCGATAGGCACTTGGATGCCGCTTGGCAGGAGACTAAAGTCTTTCTCCTTGCTGCGTGAGCGCTTTCGGATAGGCTGCTCGCTTTCTCGTTTCCCGTTTCAGGCCAGCAGCTGAGGGAAGCGGCGACAAAGCTGTGGATCCAATTAAAGGCTTGGCGGCGGCACCAGCTGGAGGAGGCACGGCGAGTGGGAACAGGCGAAGGAAAGGGCGAAGCTAGAACTTTGTTGGGAAGGCGAGGCTGCTGGCTCCTCTGGGAAACGCTTTGAGGGGCTGTTGGAGGTTGAGTTAGCCGGCGCCTCGCCCAGGTCTTTTGGGAGCGGGTCGCCTGCGCAGTGCTCGCTCTCCGGGAGGAGGCGACAACAGCAATAGCAGCTGCCGAGAGCTCCTCCAGTGCCGCCGGACGTGCCGGAGACTAGTCCAGCACGAGCCGGGATCCATCCCCTCCTCGCCAGAGCCAGGCGATGCTTTCAGGGAACACTCGACGGTTCCACTGACTTAATTGAAGCTTCGGAGAAGAGCAGCCGCTTTACAGAGCGAAAGGAGGCCTTTTACTGCTCTCTCCCCCCAGTCCTTACTGTTGGAGATGGTGCCCGCCCCGGGATTAGTTTAAAGCCTTATCTTCAGCCTCTCTTTTGTGGAGGTGAGCTGGAGAGACGTACGCCAGCTACTCCGAAAACCGGCAGACTCTGGCGTGGGACGCGTTGCTTAGTGCTGCGCCTAACCCCGTCGATCCCCCTTTCTCTGTGGGAAGACGATAATCTTGTAATCTCAACGCCGAAGTCTTCTCTATCAGTGTAAAACGAAAATAATCGTCTGGATAATGTCAACCTCAAGCAGATTCAAAAAGGACAAAGAGATCGTAGCCGAGTACGAAAGTCAAGTGAAAGGTAAAAAAGCTGGGGTGGGTCAGGATGCCTGTAGTTTGTTTCTCTTTCTTCTCCCATAGCTACCATCACCTGTTTGGTTGTGCTTCCCTGCCCTCTTCGTGCCGAGGACAGAGTAAAAATCCGTCCTTCCGGATTAATCAACCGGAAAAAGATAGCCACGATATGATCTGTGTACAAAGATACTAGTGTGGATTACAATCTTGGCATTCTTAAGATAAATTCCATTGATTGAAAAGGGTGACAAGAAAATCCACACTTGCATCACTGAAACTGTTGATGGACTGTAGTAATATAAATTGCTGTTGATGTGGGCAGCTATGTTGGGGTAAAATTAAATCGTTTTAAGTGATAAGTGCTCCAACATGCATGAGACACTCATCCCAGAGTCATCCAGTTCATCAGTCGATTTCAGAAAAAAAGGGGTAGGTGGGACATTGGTAAGCAACCCTTTATAAATTTACCAGCCATCTTTATATAACTTCCTGAGCAGAAATCTGGAAGAGAGGTTTAATTTTTTTAAAAGTTAATTATGCATGTGTTCTTCCGTGTACCATAGCAGTTTGCAAGAAAAAGGTTAATGGAAATAAAATCTTCCAGCTACTTAACTGGAGTTCAAAGAATAAAAAAAATAGAAATGCAGTAGTGACATTTTAAAATACAATATGTAGGACTTGGTTTGCTCACAAAATTATACTTGGTATACAAGTTGGAATGTTCATTCTTTTACAAATGGAGCAACAAGTTGTGGAACTTTAAATATTTTTGTTTTTAGGAGTAAACAAGTTAATGTTGAAAACCAAATAAACTATCAGTATTGTTGTAAACACATTGTGTTTTCTGGGCTTGTCCTCCTCTCCATCAAACAGTTATAGAAAGCTCATTTTCAGGAAAAAAAAAAAAAGTAAAAAAGTGGTGATGGGAAGTTCAGACTTCATGAGTTGTCACATGAAATCTTGTTTAATTGATTTCATTTCTGAACCTGAAGTAATATCAACAGTTTTTACTGCCTTTGAATGTAGATTTTATTAAGTAAATCTTTTTTATCCTTCCATGTATTAGTTTAGTTCTTAATTTGGTATATTTTGCATTGTATTCGGTTCATAGTACATCATAGTTCATAAATTCTTTTTTTCCCCTTTCACATCTATTAAAGGATCCAAGATGGTCATTTTGAATTTATTTAACCGTGTTAATCCAGAGTCTATGTGGCATGACTGTGGAGTATTTGAGTGGTGCAGTAGAGGCTCTTGATATCTAAGGTTTTGAATTCAAATTGGGTTTTATTAAGAACTTTATTTCAGTCTACTTCATCTCATTCTGTTCATTCTGCCTTTCCTCCCCCCACAATTCCCTCACTAATACAAGCTTCTAATTCAAAACATAAATGCACATATAACATACGTACTCTCTTTGCATAACTATTAATAGACTTACAAGATTCAAGTAAAATGTGTGATGAAATTCTGAAACCTCTTTAGCAACCTATATTCTTTTAACTCCTGCATTCTTTGTAATAAGATCTCTGGTTTGTCTTCATTTGTTAAGATTTTTTTTTAATTTCTTGTATTTGTTCAGCAAAACTAAAACAAAATTCAGAGCAAAACCCTCTTTAAATTATTCAGTAAATGTTTGCTTGATTAGGTTTAGATGATTTTAAAATATTTCATTTCTAATTTAACTGAATTTCCTGAAATGTCACTGAATTATCCTAGTCCCAAATAAATGAGATAATCCTTTCTTCATTTTACAGAGCAGTTCACTTCCACTCAAATCTTTTGTTGGAAGATATGTTTGTTCTTTGGCACTTTTTAAAAGGACTGTAATACTTGTTTCTCTAAAATGTTTCTTCTGGACACAATTAGAAATGTGACAGGATGAGTTGTAGAAAACCTTGTTGCTAATGAGTCAATTTTATGGAGGGTTTATCTTTTCATCGTTCAAATGGTGATCTTTCTGTGATAGAATGAGGAGTAGTTTAATCATCAATAGTATTAGAATGAGGCTAATAGTAAACTATTACATTTCTTTTATTCTTTTATTCTTTCTACCAATCCCTTGGATGATATAAATATTTTTTTACCCCATTATGACAGAAGTATTTTTTCCATTGCAAATAAAGCAAGCTGTATCTTATCAGTTGCTATTTTATTAGAAAAATAATCTCTTGGAAAAAAGCAAGCATGAAATGAATTGAATTGCTTTGTTTAAGGCAGGGGTAGGCAACCTTGGCTCTTTTATGACTCATGGACTTTAACTCCCAGAATTCCTGAGCCAGCATGGCTGGCTCAGGAATTCTGGGAGTTGAAGTCCACGAGTCATAAAAGAGCCAAGGTTGCCTACCCTTAGTTTAAGGCCATTTGGAGTAAAAAATTACCATTATTTGTTTATCAAAAGTCCATTAGGCCTAAAACAAGATTCTCTTGTGTACTATTACAATATTCTAGTGGAGTTAATGGGATATCAAATGTTTCTGAGGTCACCTCTTAAAGTGTAGGTCAGATAGTTCTTAATTGCTTCCTTAGTGTGCTTGTCCATTTATGGTCATCAGTAGTTTTTCTGGCTCATTGTTTAGTCAAATTAACTACTGTTGCTTGTAAACAGGCTGGTAGTATTGAGTGGACAGTTTGTTTATTTATTTATTTGTAAAATTTATTGGCTGCTCATCTTACCTCAGGGTAACTGAGTGGCTTACAATCACAGTTGATGTAACTCTAAAATATATATTCAGAGTTATGGTATAGCATGGAAATCTTTTGAGATTTTGTTTAATATCAACACATATTCTTCAAGAATGCTATCTGATCTGAAGGCAAGATGAATTAATACTTCATCCATATCTTCCATAGCATTTCTAGAAACAGATTGTCACATATTGCAATTATCAAGAAGGTATTAAGAATGAGAATTAGAGTTGATTTGTTTGCTAATCTACTAGTGTATCTTTGGAATTATACAATTCAGTCTCCAAATTTTGAATAATTTATTTATACAGTTTTTATCCTGCTCCGTTCATAAGATTCTGGATCACAGAGAAAATATATAAACCTATGATATAACATTCAGTTAGAAACCACCAGAAGTTACTCATTAAACATATCATTAGAAGAGAATTAGAAGTAAAATTAAATTAACTAGATCATCTCTGAGAAACCTTCCACGCCTTATATTCTGTAATTCTGAAATGAAACAAAAAAGCACAAGGCACAAATAACTACAATAACACAGTAATGGCACTTGAGCCTCAAACACATAGTGGGAAAGTACCATCTTTATCACCTTTTCTAACTATTAAGAGTGTTGGAACCATCTGGATTTCATTGAACAATCTGTTCCATTATTGAAAAGGTCTTCCAGATCATCAATCCCAGAGCTATTATTGGAGTCACCGATAAACCAGTTGGTTTCTGGACAAACAACAACTTCATTTTGTTGGATTCAGTTTAGCTTGTTTCCTCCCATCCACTTCCTCAGATCTTTTAGGCATGGTAGAAAGACATCCAGGGTATCTCTTGCTTGACCTAGATCGGGGGTCCCCAAACCCCAGTCCGTGGACCAGTACCAGGCTGCAGCATGCTAGCAACTGGTCCGCAGAAACAAGCAAAGCCCCATCTGCAGGATGAAAGCAGCACACAAAACCGTTTTTCCATGTAATGGGTCCCTGGTTCCCAAAAGGTTGGGGACCTCTGACTTAGATGTAGTGCTTCATCTGAATATTGATAATACCTCAGCCTAAACTGACAGATGATCTTTTCCAGTGGTTTTGTTAAATGTTAACATGGGGAGAAAGCAGAGATCTGGAACTACTCTTTAAAGAAGAAGTAGAGCTACTGTCTTGATACCCAAACATTTTCAGGCAGTCCAGAGAAATAGTATGTTTGGTGACATCACTACTAAGAGGACTAGAACCATGATTGCGCTTTAATCCCTTCAAGTCTCACCACAGGTCATCCATAAAAGCAACTCCATCCAAAAGACTCCATTCACACCCAGGACTGAACTCTGGCTGAAAGAGAGCAAAATAATTTGAATCATCCAGAATTCTGTGCAACTGATACCACATTGTCTTCTCCAGACATTTTGCTAGAAAGGAAAGTTTGGTGATTGGGCTGAAGGTCATCAATACGGCTGAATCCAAGAATGGCATCTTTATGAATGAATGAGTCTTTGAGTTGTTGGATTCCATGGCCAAATATGGGTGCTTCCAACACTTGCCATATCATGAGAGGACAAGTATGCAATAGCCCAGCCATTTAAAATACAGCTATTCATGTTTTGAGTGTCACTTATATGCCCCTTTTAAGCTTAGAAATTTATCATCACTACTAGAAAGAACAGCCCACTGGAAACCAAATTACAGATTGTCTTGTTTTTTCCTGGGCTTTATATGTATATATTGTAAGCAGAACTGCTAATTTTTTAAATTAAGGCAGTTGAGTTAAGAACCTGATACATCAAACAAATTGGCATACCCTGAAAAGGAGATTCATTCATCTGATTGGCTGATTTCTGTATTATCACATAGGTATTTTATCTGGGTTTAAATTGTGCATTTTATTTTATTTTATTTTATATTTTATTTTATTTTATTTTATTTTATTTTATTTGTAAGCTCACAAGACTTAAGTAATGAACTATTTTATTCTAGGAGAAGAATGAATCACTGCCTTTCAGGGCAGTAATTATTAGCTCCTCTTTTAACAAAGCACTAACTCAGTGGTGGTGAACCTATGGCATGGGTGCCAGAGGCGGCACTCAGAGCCCTCTCTGTGGGCACGCGCACTGTTGCCCCAGTCCTAGGCCTTCAGCTGGGTTTTATAAAACCTTTTCGCTTTAGGCCTCCACCGCCATGTACAAAAAAAAAAAATAAAGGTTCAATCAATCAGTCAATTTCAACTTCTCACAGAAAAAAAAAAGATCTTGCAAGGTTGGAATTGATTGATTGAACTTTTTAGTCCCACCCAGTCTGCCGTTACCACCACAGCCACGGCCACCCAATGGGC